TCGGCCGCGGGGGGCCTTGCCGGGGACCAAGGCCAGCACCCCCTGCTGGAGGCGCTGCTCCGCCTGTTAGCTTTCTCTTCCGCAGCCGCAGGCCACCTTCCAGCCAGCCTCCTCAGCCAGTGCCTTAAGGTGTTGGTGAAATTAGCTGAAAACTCTCCCTTTGAGCTCTTGCCCAGGTACCATGCGCCTGCGAGCGGTTCTGTGTCTTCCCTGACCTTGAGGGCTATCCTGTGGCCCTCGGACTTGGCTCATATCTTGACTTGTCTGCTGCCTTGTTCAGGGAGTTCTGAAGTGATGGGGGTGGGACGAGGTATTGGGAGAACCACGGAGGTGGTTGGTTTGGGTTCATGCTGCCGCTGTGCAGCAGGTCAGCAGGAGACACGTGCTAAAAGGAGGGAGTGTCCTGCCCCCGGACGGGCAGGGGCTGGGCCAAGAGGCCTTTGAACCCGGACATGGATCAGGCGGACCACATGTCACAGCCACATCTAAGGGGTCCCCAAGGAAGCAGGGGGTCTGCCCATCACTGTTGTGCCCACCACGTGCATGAGCCACAGGCTACCTGCTCTGGGGTCTGTGGGAAGCGATGGACAGTGAACCCAGCTCACGAGCACTGTGGTCCGCAGTTCCTAGCGTGGGTCCCGGAGCCTCACGCCTGGGGGCACCTGCACACCACGCAGCCCGTGCCCCCGTCCAGTCACACACACACACACACACCCGCTGCTGCCCGAGACGCTGCTGGCACTGGGTGGCTGCTGCCGCGTTAGCTTCTCCCTGCGCTCAGCTCCTGTGTCTAAGCACTTCAGGTCGCACTGGGTGGCTGCTGCCGTGTTAGCTTCTCCTCCCTGCGCTCAGCTCCTGTGTCTAAGCACTTCAGGTCCTGGTTCCCACCGGACGTGTTCTGGCTGGTCTGGTCCATCCCTGAGGTGGTGCCCAGGGCTGGCAGGACTGCAGTGCGTGTGGGCAGCTGGTGGGCACAGGGCTCACCCAGCTGCCAGGCAGCCCAGCTCAGGGGCTGGCTGGTGGTTTCATGTTTGTTAGATGACGACACCAGGGCCCACGTCTTACCATTTCTCTTGACAAACTCCATCCTCCATTCCTCTCAGCTTGTCTGTAGGACAGCAAACCTCAGCCCTTAGGGCTTCCCACAGGCTTCCCTCTGCTGCCCGCTCCGCCCGCAGCCCAGCCCCCGGAGCTCAGTATTGCTGAGTGACTAGGCCTGTGTGGAGGTGGGAAACGGGTCCGAGACCCCAGGGGCAGGGTGCTGGGTGGGTTCCCAGCAGTGCGTCTCCAGCCTTTGCTCTCGGTCACTGACACTGCCTCCCGCTCAGAGCTTCTCCGAATTCCTTCGCTTGCAGGCGGAGCCACCACCGCCCCCACTTGATCTTGGCGTAAAAGCCAGGACGGTGCCACCATGGCTCTAACGCAGTACGCGATGCTGACGGGCTGCGGCCTCATTCAGGGCCCCGTGCCCACCGGGCTTGAGGGCACATCACCCTCAGGCGCTGGGAGCAGTAGATCCAGGGCTGCTCCCAGGCCTTGGGGCGAATAGCCCTCACCCCACCTCCAGCCGGAGCGGGCCTGGGTGCTGTCGGCAGGGACACACTTGTACATAAAGACGGGCTTTCCGTGCAGCTGGTTTCAGGGCTTCAGCGGACAAGTTAGGGCCACTTCTCACAACCAGGTTAAAGCCCAGGGTCCCTGGCAACAGAACATTCGGCTTCCCCGCCCACCACGCAGGATTTGCTCTAAGAGTTTGGCGGGAATACTGAGACCTGCGTCCTGGTGCATTCTGGGAATGGCCAACCCCCGATGCTGTGTGCGTGGAGGGGGCACGTGAGGACGGCCTCCCCACCCTGAGCTGTGCAGGTGGACACAGCAAATGGCTGTCTCGGGACTTGGTTCCTTGGTAACGGCGGTGCCTTAGGCCTGGCACCGGGGAGGCGTGTGCCCAGAGTTCCCCCCCCCCCTCACCCCGTGCGCACCTCTCACACTGACAAGGGTGAGGGTGGTCCTTGCTCGGGGAGGGGGGGGCATGAGACCCAACCAGAGCCCAGTCCACGCTCGTCACCTCTGGAGCCGGGCCAGGCCTGGGTGTGGGCCAGGGCGTTTTCCTCACCCGAGTTCACATCTGCCCCCCACTTGGGAGCCGAGGCCGGAAAGAGCTCGGTCCAGTGGGCCAGGCCCACGGAGGCAGCCTCCCTCTGAGTCAGGCCTGTCTGCACGGCCTGCGTGGGCTTCCTGTTCCAGCGCACGGGCGTCAGTGCTTCGACGCCAACCTGGTCCACCTGCTCCGAGCCTTCCTGCAGCGCCAGCCGCAGCCCTGGTGCCTTGTGGCGCACAACGGGGACCGCTACGACTTCCCCCTGCTCCAGGCAGAGCTGGCCGTGCTGGGCCTCGCCAGCGCGCTGGACGGTGGCTTCTGTGTGGATAGCATCGCCGCCCTGAAGGCTCTGGAGCAGGCCGGCCGGCCTGGGCTTCCTGTTCCCTCGGGTGGAAAGTGGAGGCGAGTTGTGGGGTCGGGTGAGGTGCCAACCTCGGGGCCTGCCTTTCAGGTTCCAGTGTGTGTTCCCGCTGCTGCCACAGTGCCTCCGCCCGGACGTCCCCCTGCCCAGCGTGCTGCTGGCGGTGGAGCTCCTGGCCCTCCTGGCCGACCACCAGGCGCTGGCACCTCAGCTCTGCTCCCGCTCAGGTAAGGCGGGCAGAGGGGGCGCAGGGGCAGGCTGGGCTCCGAGGGCTCCTGAGCGAGAGGTGGACACCTTTCCAGAAGGGTGCCTCCTGCTGCTGCTGTACATGTACATCACCTCCAGGCCCGACAGCGCGGCCACGGACATGCAGTGGCTCCACCTGGAGCAAGAGGTAACAATGCCATGCCCTCCCTGCGAGCCTCGCTCCCTCCGTCCGCTGGGTGAGCTTTAGTTAACTTGGTAGCAGGTTAATGTGGCCGCTAACAGGGTAGATGACCACACAGGTGCGAGGAGGTGGAGCCCGGGGGGCCTGGGACTGGGCGGAGTTGCCCGATAACTGACCCTGCCTGGGCTCAGGCCTGGGCTGGAGGCATGTGGGTTGGTGGTGGGACACAGGTGTTGGTCCGGAGCTGTTCTGGGAAGGCCACACCCCACCGCGTCCTGGACCCCGTTCGTGCAGGCAAGCAGTCAGGGCTCTGAAACCGAGAGGCTCGCTGAGCCCAGGTCTCGTCCGGAACGTCTGCTCTTGCTCTAGGCCGTGTGGCTCCTGGCTAAGCTGGGCATACAGAGCCCCGTGTCCCCGGTCACTGGCTCCAGCTGCCAGTGCAACGCGGAGGTGAGAGCCCAGGCGGGCGGCGGGTCTGTGGGTGGGTGAGCAGCATGTACAAGGACCCCTTCCTGCCTCACCCTAGTGCCACTACTCGGGGGGCTGAGCAGGCTGTTGGGGTGCAGGAGCCGCAAGACCTGACCTCGGCCTGCACCCCAGGTGGTCCGGGTGCTCACGGTGGTGCTGCACAGACAGTGGCTGACGGTGCGGAGGGCAGGGAGAGCCCCGAGGACGGCGCAGCAGAGGCGCACGGTGCGGTGTCTGCGGGATGGGGCGCTGCTGCTGCACAGCCTGTCCCAGAAGGACAAGCTCTTCGCCGTGCACTGCGTGGGGGTCCTGCACCAGTACGACCAGGCGGTGCCCGGGGTCAGCGCGCTCATCCGCAGCCTCCCCGACGTGACCGACTGCGAAGGTGAGCAGGTGGCGGGAGGGCGGACACCCTGCAGGTCCTCCCTGAAGTGCAGGCACAAGTCGGGTTTCCTGGCCTGCGGCCCTCCGTCCACAGCCTTGTCCACAGCCTTCGCCGGCACCAGGCTGCCTGTGGCTCCTGTCGGTCGGCCTGGCAGAGCCACGGGTTTTCCAGAAACATCCCTGTCTGATTGCCTGGTATCACTTTGCTCCAGTAGCTGAGGGAGGAGGCCTGGGCTGGCGGGGACGGGTCAGTTCCTGCGAGGGGGAGGGGAGGCGGGCTCCAGCACTTCCGGCCTCCGCCAGAGCAGAGCCCTCTTGTTTTGGCGCAGAGGCTGCCCTGGATGACCTCTGCGCGGCAGAGCCCGACGCGGACGACCCCGACATGGACTGCGGCTGAGGTCTGAGCATCGCGCCCGCGGCTTCCTCCCGGGCTGATTAAAGCAGTGCCGCTGAGAACTGCTGCCTTTTGTGTTGCCTGAGTCTGGTCTGTGTTGGCGAGGGGGGGGGATGGAGCAGCTACACCAGGGAAGGCTGGATCCTTCTTCCGCCCGCTGCAGGAGCCGTCCCTATGACAACAGCCTGCCTGGAGGAAGGCGCCCTGCCCTGCCTGTGGAATTGTCCTGAGTCATGGCTTTGGGCTGAGGCCATGGGAAGAAACCATTGTACAGCAAGGAAGGAGGCAGCCCTGGGGAAGCGGGGCTCAGGGCTGGGTGCCCAGTGCCAGGGCAGGGGCTGCTGGCAGGCTGAAGTCCCTGTGGGCCTTCCCCATGGCCTGGCGCCACTGCCCGTCCTCCTGTCTCCTGTCCTGCTCTCACGGGTGGGAGGGCCGGGTGCACCGTGCGGGCCAGCAGGCACAGCTAGAGATCTGAGGCCTTTAGGGAGTCACGGGGGCGGGGAGGGTCTGGGAGGCATGGGTGTTGGCAAGAGAGGAACCAGGCAGGCTGACTAGCAGGGCGGGCCCAGTCACACCGCAGCTGTAGGCGGGCTCCGGCTCTCCGGCTAAGTTTCACTTCCCGCCTCTGGGGCCAGCAGCGAGAGCCCGTGTGCTGTGTGCCGTGTGCCGGAGTCATTGCCACCCACCTGTCTGCCTGCCGCTTGGTAAGTGAGAACCCTGGGATTGGGCAGGGTGGGAAGGCCAAGGGCTCCGCCCCCCCCCCCCCCCCCCCAGGGGGGGGGAGGGGGGAAAAAAAACCCCCCCCCC